ACTATGAAAAGGCGAGTTGAGCTAATCCTTGCCTGCCTTGAATGCTGTATCAGCTCTGCGATGCACTGGAATCCGTGACCGTGAAGTGAAGTTGTAGCGCCGCTATGGTACATATGATTATCTATCGAATCTCGCTGAATGAGATAGAATTTGGAAGGCAATTATAAGTCTCGAAAACTGCTTATGCCAAAAATAAGTATTTTATCATGTGCTCTTTTTCATAACAAAATAGACTTGACTAGTGTTGTAGATAGTATATTTATTCTTTGCTAGCGTACAAAACTATAAGTACAATCAGCCTTATTAGAGCAGGTTGAAATGTTGAATTGCGAACCATCCATTTGGTCTGTCCTGTCGACTGAAGGCTTGGATTTCAGTCCGTCGGTTTGTCAAAATCATGAAAGCATTTCTGTACCATTGAGAACCCGACCGCCACAACATTGTCCTTCTTGACGTCATATGTTAGAACAGTCCGAATTTTCTTCTACCCTCTAGCTGGATACGTTATGATTGGTCAGTAGGGAGTCTGCATCCTCCTCTTCGAAGGAGGCTTCTTTGAGACTGAGTAACGCAATCTGGTTCTCCGTCCGTCTTGAACAGCTCCCGTCGTAGCGAAAGCCCGGCGTCTCATTTACAAACTTGTGCAGACATGTCGGGCTGGTGTCTGGCCTCGCCCGAGACCCTGGGTCTGGTATGCAGGGGCCCGTGATGAAAGGGTAAGCATTCGAGTCCCGATAAGTGGGTTCGAGTCCCCGCCCAATCTGCGTCTGAGTCGGTGATGTAAGCGATCTCGGGCCAGCCGAAACGGAAGTCGACGGCGACAGTTTGAGGGAGGAGGATGGGCCTTGCAAAGCCTCAAGCACATGGCGATAGTTGAGTAGCTCCCGATGAAGGAGGCCATGAGAACCGGTGTGTTGGTACCACTGCCGTTGATGGGGCAGATGCGAGTTAGTGGGCACTCTTAACTGGGGCAATGACAGAGGAAGGGGGAATGCGAGTGGCGACGGCATTGGTAGCGGAAATGAGAATGGCCGGAGCATTGGTGGCGGCAGAGTTGAGGAGACAGTGGAGTGGTGCGAAAGAGTAAAAGATGAAGGGGGGGAGAGTGGAGGGAGAGGAGAGGGTGGAGGAGAATGGTGGTGAGGAGGAGGGGAGTAAGAATTGGGGCCGACAGGAGGCAGGGAAGTGTTGGTGTAGGGCGGTCGTGGAGGGAAGGAGAAGGAGAGAAGTGAGTTCGAAGGGAGTGGGGAACGAGGACAAGAAAGCGGTGATGCTGCAGCTGGGCCGACCAGATGACAGTCTTCATGAGTCTCATCAATCAAGTCTGGGCCATCTCGAGACTCCTGTGGTATAAGAGGCTGGATTGCGGCTTCTAGGCGGTTGACTCTGGCTGCGACCCTCTTCTCTGACGGGTCTCGTCTGCTCATCTTCACCTCCCTACGACGGACCTTTGGTTCGAGGGACTCCACTTCGTCCGCCATCGAGACAGACCGGCGACGCCAC